CTGCACACAAATGATGGTGTTTATATGCTTTAGAAAAATCAAAAATTTACATGCAGCATCTTTAAATAACCCGGGCTCATCGTGAAAACCTAGCCCGCGGACATTTCTGGAGAACGCGAAATACCTCCCGGGAGGTATGTAATTGTGCAGTTTTTGTTTTCGCCAATCCGCGAGAGGCCGCTGTGCCGTGCTTTTTCACGTCTCGAACGCCTTTTGGGAGCGCGCGTCGTTGCACCCGCACTGTTCTTGCGTGAAAAGCCACCGGAGGCCGCTGTCAAGTGACCGTCTGTCCGGCTGACCGACTGGCCGAATGACTGAACGATCGACTGGGCGGCCGGCCGATCGGCTGTCACGGCTGCCCTCCTCCCACTCCCTCTCCTCCTCCTTCCCTAAACCCAAGCGACGATTTACAAAAGCCGTCCAGAAAAGAAAAGCAAAAGCCCTCGTCCGATTTTGACAGAGTTTTCGGATTTCGCCGCATTCTCACCCTGTCACAAACTCATTCGCTTTTAATTTCTTGGATTCTGTTTTTCATCTTACCTGATTTCTGGAAACACTCTTCCCTGGACCCAAACCCGGTCGTCGCCGCGGATGGCTCCTCCTCCTCCGGACTTCCGCTACGCCGACGTAACACCACGAGCTAAGCTGACAAACTGGTTGCGGCTGGAAAGCCCTCCACACGGAGGTGAGTGAGCTAGCCGTCGGCCACAGCCGGCGAGCGCAAAGAAGAGGAGCGGCATCACACCGCCCTGCAGCGTTTGCCCAGCCACGTAAATCGCGGTCTCCAGAAACGTCCGCGGGTCTACGTTTTCAGAATGAGCCTGGTTTGCCTTTAAACCCAAAGCACTACAAAAAAAAGATATAAACACATGATAATAAAGAACAAAAACAGTGCAAAATAAACCATCAATTCATAACAAGCTTAAATAAATGTGTCTCGAACATCTTTTTAAAGCGATCGAAAGTCAGTGCGTTTCAAATATTAAGAGGAAGACCTTGACATTGAAGACATTGCATAATTTGGGGGCTTTGAATGAGGAAGCTCTTTCTCCTATAGTCTTTAGTTTACATAAAGACTGGTGGACTAACAGAGAACCAAAAGAGCGGAGAAAGCAAGCGAGAACTAGGAGAATTAGACTTAAAAGAGAGCAAAAATATTCAGGTGCAACCCATGTAGTGCTTTAGATGTGAAATTAAGAATTTCAACAATAGTCCTGCATTTCAGAGTAATAAAGATGATGTTCCCTCCAGTAATTCCAAGTATTCCCACATTCATTAATTCATTATCCTATAATTCATACTCTAGAACAGTTCTGATCCAGATCGAAGCGTCCATCTGCTGGATTTGAGTCTTTCAGTCTGTGTTGTTTCTCGCGGGCTTCATCAATCAGCTCTGAGATGTTTGGTCTCTGCGTGAAACTCTCATCATTAATGTGTCTGGTGTCAATTAGAGCTCGATCCAGATCAGAACGCACACACGCAACCATCCCTCAGTGTGAGAGAGATGGAGACGGTCAAAACACTGTGCTTCTCCTGATTTATACATTTGAGGGTTCGTCCCTCGCCGTTCGGACAAGACACATTAGTCTTCATTCCCCTGATCCACAATAATGACTTTATAATAAGCCCTTATTAGAGAGGATTTCCACAATCTACCCAGAGCACTTCTCATTTTAATTGCACTGCAGTCTGTTTCCATTTCACCATGCTAATTTATTAGCGTTTAAGAGTGCTAGCTGACGACAGAGAGAGAGAGAGAGTGCAGACAGGCTGCGTCTCAAACCACATCTGAACTTCTAGTAACCTTCTAAGATTGAACGTCTGAAGCATTGGCACACACAGATGAAGTCAAAAGTATTAGCCGTCCTGTTACATTTGAGTTCTTGGCTGTTAGCACGGTCGCCTTTCAGTAAGAAGGTCTCTGGTTCGGGTCTCAGCTGGGTTGGTTGGTGTTTCCATGTGGAGTTTGCATGTTTTCCCTGCGTTCGCTTGGGTTTCCTCCGGGTGCTCCGGTTTCCCCCACAGTCCAAAGACATGTGCTATATATAGGGGAATTGATGTGTTTGGGTGTTTCCCAGTAATGGGTTGCAGCTGGAAGGGCATCCGCTATGTAAAACACATGCTGGAATAGTTGGCGGTTCATTCCGCTGTGGCGACCCTTGATCAATAAAAGGACTAAACCGAGGAGAATGAATGAATAAACATTGCAGGATATTTCTTAGACCTTACAACTTGCATTTCTTCCCAGAGATGGGTTGCAGCTGGAAGGGCATCCGCTGCGTAAAACTTGCTGGATAAGTTGGCGGTTCATTCCGCTGTGGCGACCCTGGATTAATAAAAGGACTAAGCCGACAAGAAAATGAATGAATGAACAACTTGCATTTCTAGAACGTTTCCCTCTCTTTTACCATCTCATTTGTCCTTGTTTGTCATTGGTTTCAAAGCTAAATGAAAACAATAGTATTTAAATGCGCTGTACGTTCATATAATCCATTAGTTAGCGCTGCGGCTTGTATCAGAAATGTCCTCCTCTTCCTGCCGTCTGTGATGATGCAGCAGTAATGCAGTAATGAGGGTGACTTTTACACAACGCTGCATGATTAATTCAGATGCTTTTATAGCTAGTTTAACGTTACAGACAGCCAATTATTTAATCCGACCTCATGCTGCTCCCCTGCACTCAGAGCAACACGTAATGCTCTGTTTATCATTACACTAGAAATGCTTATTGAAGACAAACATATGAACAATAGCCAGCAACTGGTGGACGAGAGAGCTAGACGGACAGTGAGAGAGAGAGAGAGAGAGAGAGACTGATTTATAGGGCTTTTCTCCTCACTCAATAACAATAGCATCATGCCAGCCTATAAGCTCTTAAAAGCTGTGTTTTAAAGCGAGTGGAGTGGTTTTTAATAGGCAGCGGTGCAGTTAGCAGCGCGTGCCGTGGCTTCGGTCACATTAAGTAGCTTTCAATTGTGGAGGCCATTAACACTGCCCGCATGGAGGACAGCGCTTCTTAAGAGGATACTTACCATTAGGATTAACCACTCGCTTCTTTAGCCTGTCCTCATCTCTCTCTCTCTAGTCAATTCACTTTATTGGCATGACAAGATATTTGTTCCTAATAATAAACATTATTATATATGCTATACTGTATAGAAACATTGTTGGTTCAACTATCCAGATGTGTTCATTATACCTCTTAATTTGTGGCATTCATTCATGTTCTTTTCAGCTTAGTCCCTTTATTAATCAGGGGTCGCCACAGTGGAATGAACCACCAACTTATCCAGCATATGTTTTTTACGCAGTGGATGCCCTTCCAGCTGCAACCCAGTACTGGAAAACACCCATACACTCTTGCATTCACACACTCATTCATACACTACGCCCAAATTATTTCATCAATTCCCCTATAGCGCATGTGTTTGGACTGTGGGGGAAACCAGGGCACCCGGAGGAAACCTACGCCAACACAGGGAGAACATGCAAACTCCACACAGAAACGCCAACTGACCCAGCCGAGGCTCGAACCAGTGACCTTATTGCTGTAAGGTGATCGTGCTACCCACTGCACCACTGTTACGCATTGTGGCATTTATATTTGACTTATTTTTATTTCTTTGTCTCTTGTTCACTGCAAAAAATGCTTTTCTTACTTAGATTTGTTGTCTTGTTCCTAGTCCAAATATCTCACAATTCTTAAATCAAGAAGAATTTTCTAGACAAGCAAAACATATTGCCTTGTTTTCAGCAATAATATGCCAAAATGAAGTAAGTTTTTACTTAAAACAAGCAAAATAATCTGCCAATGGGGTCAGCAAAATAATCTTATGTCAAAAGGAAAAACAAGATTATTTTGCTGACCCCACTACCTTGGTTGTGGCTAATGGGGATCCTGATAAAATAAATAATAATAAAAAAGGCGAGACCTTACCATACTTTGAGGGAAAACGCAATCAGGGAAAAAGCATCAGAATTGGTGCTCTGTATCGGCCGATCACCATGACAAGGAATCAGTACTTAGTATCAGCTGCAAAAATCTTGACCGTAGCGTCCCTAGTGCACACATTTAGGGTACAGCGACTGTCCATCAAGTCAAGTTTGACCTGCCAGCTATGAAACCGTTTTTACACCGCAAATCTGCCGTTTTAACCTTTATAAATACTGTCTTCTACATACTGCTAAACACTTTACACTCTTCTGCAGGTACTTTTATCATTATAAAATACACCCTTTACTGTAGATAGAATTGTTTTTTGTCTACTGAGTGAACACTGGTGAAATACTGCACACTGATGAGGGAAAGTGTGTGATGAAGATCAGCTTGATATAGATTTGAGGATTGAAATGAAACGTATCTGCTTTAGATTAGAGGTTTAGCGAAGGTGGGTTATTTTTGACCCGAAGCACAAATGATGCATGCAAAATTCAATTCAGCTCAGTTTATTTGTATAGAGCTTTTCACAGCAATCAAAATCAGAAAAACTGAGGTTTATTATTAGTTACCATAACTTTATTAGTTACTAATAACTTTAGGTAATTAACTAGTAACTAGTTAGGGCTGCACAATATTTGTGTTCAGTGTTGCAGCGTGATCATTTGCAATAGCCACATTACATGATGTGCAATGTAGAATCTGTATTGCAACTTTAATAGGCTGTAGGATGTTGATTATATTTAATGCAAATGAACTTCTCATCCCAATTAGTCTAGAATTATTAATGCTTTCCAAAAATATATTCAAGTCATCTGCTGAAAGTGTAATCATATCGCAATATACTGTATATAATAAAATGCAGCAATGTTCAATTTTTGCAATATCCTGCAGTCCTATGACTAATTACTCATATCTTTTTTTTATTCTAAGACCACAGCAGGGTTAAGACTCTAGAAGGCTGGTTTTGGTGTGCTACTGTATTGTGAAGTGAATGTGCTGCTGTAAATGTCAGTGACCATCAGACTGTTCAACATGTCCTGTTCTCCTCTGGCTCTCCCAGATTTTTCATATGACCTATGACCTGGCCAGTGCAATGGTGCGAATCGTCAACTTGATAGGGATGATGCTGCTGCTCTGCCACTGGGACGGATGTCTGCAGTTTCTGGTGCCCATGCTGCAAGACTTCCCTGCTGACTGCTGGGTGGCCAAAAACAAGATGGTGGTGAGTGTCTAAACGCAGTCATCAGGGTAATACGCTGTTTCACCTAAGCAATGCTTTTCTGTTAGATTTGTACATGCATTTTTACCTTAACACGAGTTTAACAGTATAAATGAGTATAACCCTCACAGATCTCTTTTTTTAATTAATCTTTTTTACAGGATGATCTTTACAAGTGCATTCACATTAGATTAGTCAGTACCAAAAGATAAAACTGATGAACCCATCTAACATTACTACACCTTTATTAATATGTTAGGGGAAAATAAAAAAATTGTTTGCAGAAAAATCTAGAGAAACATAAAAATGTGAACTTTTTTTTGCAATTTGGATTTACATGTGTTAGCTTTCTATTTCGAAAGAAATAAATATAATATAAATAAATATAACTTAAATGCATCAAAAACTGTATTCTCTATATTCACTGAGAAATGGATAAAATTAATAATTTTCAAAAGCATATGTACTCGTATATACTTACGCTGATTATGTATGTCGTGATTTATTTTTAAAAAAAAGCAGGAACAGGATTGCAAATTTGCTTTTCAATGTTTTGTTGTCATGTTTTTCCAAACATGAAGCTAATTTTTGCACCGTAATAGCTCATTAAATGGACTCATTAAGCTACGGATTTGTATAAATCATGTTGATATTTGGACCTTGATGGATAAACAACCCAAAATATCAGAGAAAATACTCAAATGTAATAAAGAACATTTTATTAATTATTAATTGTTTATTTTAAAATGTATTAGATCAGTGGTTCTCAAACTTTTTTCACCAAGTACCACCTTAGAAAAAAATTGTCTCTCCAAGTACCACCTTACGACGCTATTTTTTAACCAGTATTAAAAAATAGCATCGTAGGCCTAATTAAGCAGCTACAGGTGTGCACAGTTTAAAAATGATGCAAATTAATTCCTATTATTAAGAATATGTATTATGGTCAATCACTTTAAACATTTGAAATAGTCTGAACATTAACTGTGCTTGCAGATTAAAAAAAAAAAAGTTTTAGTTAAAATGTGCTTTTAAAAGTTCATTAAAAATTACCTGTTCTTAAAAAGTAAAAAGAAAACTGCTGTACTTAAATCTCAAGTATTCATAGTAGCCTATTCATCAAAAGCTGGAGATGTTGCTTGGACCTTATGAATATAGGCTATATGTCATATTCCTACACTTTCAGACAAATCTTGAAATATATGTTAAATGTACATATGACAGGGTTCATACAGGCACAGCCTAATGAAAAATCAAGGAATTTTAAGCACTTTTTCCAGCACCAAATTTTTTTTTCAAGACTGACATGTTATGTATTGAAGACCTGAAATGTATTCTCAGCAACCCATAAAACATTGCATAGGAATAGATACAAATAAAAACCATTAATAATAATATGTATTAATCATATATTATTATTATAATAAACCTGCACTAAATGCTTGTGATATCTTTTTTGTACTCAAGTAAAATTACTATTACACTGCTAAAATAACACAAATTTTAGTAAATAATACTAATATTAGGTAAAAGTACTCTTTTAAAAAGTACTCTTTTAAAAAGTACTAGTTGGTTACTTTTGAAAAAAAAAATCAGATTTTTATTATGAAATCACTTTTTTTATGTTTAAACCTGATTGAATGGTTTAATTGCTTAAATCCCAAAGCTACATGTATAGGAATTTGCACTAACAAAGGAAGTATGGTCAATTTTTCCTTTCATGACAATTAATCTTTTTCAATAGCACTGGTAAAACTACCACATAATCTTAAAGGCCATAGAGACACTTTTTGCCCATTTTTTAAACGATATTTTCAAGCTTTGAAAGGTTAAATTAAAGTATATGGTAAAAATATTTAAATGTAGCCTTTTATTTACATTTGTTACACTATTTTTCTTTACAATATGGCAAATTTGTTTCTTAAATAGCTGTACATCACATGTAGATTTTATTTTACACTTGATCTTAATCTAAAATAGAAACTTTAAAAAAAATACAAGTACACTGTCAGTAAAAAAATAAAACAAATGACTTCATTTTACTTGAGGTATTTAAAATGTGACAACAATACATTTATCAAAGCAGTGCTTTAAGAGCCTTATTGTTAATTTTGATAAATAAACAAGCAACAACGGATTGCTTTGACCTGTAATGCTTTAAGACAGATCAGAATACAGCTAAATGTATAAATCACACAAATACCTCATCCAGAAACATTTCCAGCATAATTCTTTTGTCGTAAAGAAACAAAAAAAAATTCCACCTTTGCTAAAAGTAAGTTTCACTTCACAACACAGCCAAACAAGAAGAACATTAGCATTGTCATCGATCATGCATCAATCTAATTCTAAATACTTGATAACTTTGAATACTTTTGACTAAATTTAGTCAAGGAGCATAATAAATAATGTCTACTTTAATAGTGGAGAGATCGCGATTATATTCATAGCACTCGCCACATTTGCAGAAATTAGTAATTGCGCAATACCTCCATTCCCGCGCCGCCATTCAGAATGTATTTAGAGGAGTGACAGGTGAGAGGCGAGTCGACTGGCTGTCGGAGAGCGAAACCGAAACGTGTATGTAGATCATCAAAAAGGCAGGAAATATGTCCGCGGTTAAATTACTCTGCTAGACATCTCTATAGTGAAAACATCCGAGAAGCATTATTCCAACAAAACATTTGTTTTTAAGCTGTTTTTTCTGTCTCTGCAACACAGAAAGCATTTGTCCCGCCCTTACGTTTCACGCAACTAGACAAGGTCGACTGTGATTGGCTACTTTTCATGTCAGTCAAATCACGCTTCAGAATCAACTTTGGAAACTGATTTTCAGCAGCTTATGACACAATGCACTAAAATAAACATTCTAAGCACAGCGTTGTGATCGTACGCTTCACAAAACAGCCACTGCTGATCACATCGATGTTATATTACGCATTAAAGGATTAAAAGTGTTAATTGTTTCTTTCATTATTCAGCGGTTCCTCCGCGTACCACTTGGAGGAAGCCCGCGTACCACTAGTGGTACGCGTACCACAGTTTGAGAACCACTGTATTAGATTATATTTATTTTGAATAATTATTGTATTATTCATATATATATATATATATATATATATATATATATATATATATATATATATATATATATATATATATATATATATGCAACCATTTTTATTCGTTTATACCCCACACCAACACGGGGAGAACATGCAAACTCCACACAGAAACGCCAACTGACCCAGCCCAGAAGTCAAACCAGCGACCCTCTTGCTGTGAGACCACAGTGCTAACCACTGAGACACCTGTCACCCTGTTTATATATATATATATATATATATATATATATATATATTTATATAGATATCTAATAATTCAAATTCCTGTTCCAATTTTTTTAAGCTTGCATATATGATCATCAACATATATATTTAGATTTTTATATTGCATTTTTTTAACTCTGTGTCTCTTAACATATGTGTATGATTGATCTGTGCATTCATTAATTCCCTCTAATAATTCAGTTCAATAAAGAATGCGTGTCTTCATATTTTGCAGACTTCACAATTGTCATTTCTGACTATTAAATCTTTCCTAGATTTACCATTTTGAAATAGCAAACCCTAATTTCAATATAAGCAACCATATTAATTAAACTACACTGCGCTGTATACATTTCCATAATAGTGTAGTCCTGTTTGTCCACCCTAAGCTGTTTTATAACATAAGGCAGGGCTCGTAATTAAACCTTTTGCTTGGTAACGCTGGTGCTTCTAGCTTCAAAAATGTAGGCGCACCACCCAAAACTTAGGCGCACCCCCCAAAAACTTTATGCACCATTACTACAAGTTTTATATTAACAGTTTTATTGCATTTGAAATTAACCCTTATCAAAACTAACAAACAAACTCAAAATCTGCGTCTGCTCACTGGCCCTGCACACACTGCTTAATGTGAATGAGATGAACTGAACTGACGATAGTAACTTTGCTGTTCTCACTGGGCCAATCAGAAGAGTTTGAAGGTGAGGCAGGCATCGCAGGATTTGATTACTGCAGAAAGTTGACATTTCAACTGTTTTAAATCATTCCTAAGAGTTGCATTTTTAAGTGTAACGATGCATTCTGTGTGAATGTCTCCTAAAAATGCGCATGCTGTGAACATTTTGCGGTAAAAACCGGTCGCACAGCAAACAATTTTAAGCACTCGCACAAATGGTCCCGAATATAATTTGAGGTCGCATAGATAGAATTTTAGAACGTTGGCAATTTCGAGCCCTGCAAGGTGTTGAGTTAGTGGGCTGAAATGTCACAGGTTGTTTTTTTTCGACACCTCTAATTTGATATCCGGCCAGTATTGACAGTTTTCCGGTGCGCTGGGCTTTCATTTCCTGGTTTTTAGTGAAGGGGATACCAGATCCACAGTGTCCAGGTAAAAATGACAGTCCTGAGATTTAGTTTCTACAGCTGAAGGACAGAAAAACAAACCTTGACCCGAATGAGAGCGAGATCTGCTGTGCTCTGCTGAAGTTTATTGATCTACTGTTTATCGTTTAATCGGGCCCACGCTTAGACAACAGCCAACAATCCATCTCAAAAGCTTTTAACAAAACTGTCAGTTTTAACTCTATTTAACAGTTTAGTTTAATTATTGTATACAATGCAGGGCTCGAAATGAACCTTTTTGCTTGGTAGCACCGCTGCTCCTAACTTTTAAAAATGTAGGCGCATCAGCCAAAATTTAGTCGCACCCACCAATTATGAGCACTGTTACCACAAGTTTCATTAAAATATATTTATTGCATTTAAAACCAACACTAATCAAACTAACAAGCAAAGAAAAAAAAAAATTATATATATATATATGCACGCGTGAGGAAATATGTCTCAACAAAATCCCGTTATCACAAGAAAATCGATTTTATAACATAACTGAGTGACCAAAGCATACACGGAGCGCTCACCGGCCCTGCACGCACTGCTTGAATGAATCTGTTA